TGTTCCCGCCTGGGGAGGCCTGTGTTGCTGCCAGCAGGGGACCTGCCTCTCTCTTCGCCCCTCCACAGTCCCTGCAGGGTCCTGGCCAGAAAAGCAGGTGAAGTGGCAGGTACGAAGGAAGAAGCCAGGCTGCCTGTTTCCGAGCGCAGTGATGGTCTGCAAAGCCGAGAAACTCATGCCCCAACACCAGGCGCCAGGCAGGAATCACACGAGACTGCAGGACGGAGGCAAAGGAGCAAGGGGCCGCCGCCCCCCAAACACCCGGCAACAGGGGCTGGAAAGATAGCACAGCGGGTAGGGCGTTTGCCTTGCGCACCCGGGTTCGATTCCCAGCATCCCACATGGTCCCCTGAGCACCGCCAGGAGTGACTCCTGAGTGCAGAGCCAGGAGGAACCCCTGTGCATCACCAGGTGTGACCCAAAAAGCAAAAAACAACAAACACCTGGCAACAGAGGGAAGGAAGCAAGAGCACAAAACCCCCCACGCAGCGGGGCGGGGGGGAGTCTGAGGGCGCGCGAGGAGCTGCCCACAGGGGCACAGAACGCCAATGGACAAAGTGAAGTGGGCCGTGTTGCGAACAGGTGGACCCAGCACCTGCTCGGGTGAGGCCGTGTCTCCCTCCGGGACAGGGACGAGGAGGCCACATGTCCATGCAGCAGCTGGGCTAGGGCTGGGAGGGGAGGGGTCTCGGAGGGCGAGAACCTGGGCAAGACCTGCTTGTGCTTCAGGCCCCAGGCAGTGGGGGACCGCGCAGAGGGGACACAAGGGGATGCAGGGGGGTGCGGGGAACGCAGCGGGAAGCAGAGGGACGCAGGGGGACAGAGAGGGACACAGAGAGCTGAGAGGGGCGGAGAAGATGCAGCAGGATACAGGGCTAACGAGACCGGCACGGAGCCCAGTGTGGTTCTGAAGCGCAGACCCCGTCTGCCCGGCCACCCACACAGGACGGGGCCTTTGTCACAGAGCTGGGGCAACCGAGTCATGCCAAGACAACCGCACACCCCACCCTCACCTGAGCCAGCCCCCGAACCGGGCACTGCCAGGACGCAGCAGAATCAGCGGCATCCGGAGGAAGCGGCATGTGACCGTGGGCTGGCTGGCACGGCTGGCCAGCTGGACCGGGAGTGGCCCTAGGAGGGAAGACACAGGAGCAGGATGCAGGTGCCAGGGGGCCAGCACGCGAGGAAAGAAAACCGCAGGCCAGGAGGGCGCTGGGGCACCTGAGGTCTCCCCGGAGGGAAGTGGGGGCCCTCGGGTGCTGAGCTGCCCGCCAGGTCGAGCGGGGCACGGGGATGCAGACCACTGACCTGGAACCTCCCGAGTGAGACCGAGACCCTAACCCAGGGGCTGGGGCCAGAGACAACACAGGCCTAAGTCAGCCAGTCGGGTCCCCGGCACCCCACAGGGACCCCAAGCACTGCCCGGGGTGATCCCTGAGCACCCCTGGGTGTGGCTCCAGCTACAACAGAGATCCAGACACAGCCACTCATGCGGCCAGGTCGTGCTCCAGGTGATTCCATGGACAGACCCGGGAAGCGCAGGTGTGGTGCGGGTGTGTGTGCGGATCTACACACGCAGGAGTGTGCGTGAGTGAGCACATGCGAGTGTTTGCGTCTGACTGCAACTGTGCACACATGTGCGTGTCTAGGCGAGAGCGTGTGCACAAGGGCACGCGTGTGAGGTGTTGCGTGTGTGCAGGAGACCAGAGTGGGGGAGGCAGTGGCCACGGGGTCCAGGCGGTGACTCAGGGTCTCAGAGACGGTTCCTGGATCATTTCTACCAACCAGTCTCAGCCGGGTTCTGAGAAACCAATCAGAACCCGCCCAGGCTCCGCTCCAGGGCACGCCCTCACCCCGCAGGCGCTGACAGCCACCACCCCCAGGGGACCCCCTGCCCGAGGCCCCACACACGGCCAGCCAAGGGCAGCACAATCTGTCACCGCCCGCCCACAGGTCCAAGCTCTGGAACTGGGATGATTCTCAGGACAGTGGGGTGAGCTGCCCGCCAGTTCAAGGCTACGCTAGGAACCGGGTTTGCAGGAGGCCAGGGTCAGGGCAGGGAGGCGCCGCCTGCAGGAATGTGTGCAGAGCCCAAGGTGCTCCCAGAAGGATAAGTGCCTACTGAGGACAGGCAGCCGGGTACAGAGAGGGCGGGGCAGAGCTGGCCACCCTAGGGCAGGTGCTACTCCGTGAACGTCTAGAATCCGGCCACAGTGGTGCAGACTCTCTCTGCAAGTAACAGAGATGCAGGAGAGCATCACCACAGACCGGGACACAGCACCTCTCAGAAACGGCACCAGGCGGTACACACAGGCCGCAGAGTCCCTGGGCAAGAGGCAAAGTCACTGACAGCACCACGAGCCCGAGGAAGAGGCAGCTCGAGCCGGCAGCTGTGGAGGCCCCCGGCTGGCACATGGCGCCTCAGAGCTCGACTCCCCTCCCCCCAGCACCCCGGCCCCAGCTGTGGAGCCCTGAGGAGCCTCAGGCCCACCCCACCCCCCGCCCCTACAAATGGAAGAGTCATCCACCTCAAGGGGGCAAAACTGGACCTCTCTTAACTCAAAGCGGAGCAAAGACTTCAGAGGGCCAGGCACGGTACAAATGCTAGCGGCAGACAGCTGACCTCCTGCATCTCGACATAGTCTGGATCGGACTCGAACAGCACGGGCACACGCTGGGGAGGGCACAGTGGGCAGGAGCTCGCCTGCACGGGGCCGCCAGGGCGCTAACAGGCTGGCACCGCGTGAGTCACAGGCTGCCGGGAGCGACCCAGAGCACAGGGGCAAACCCTCAGCGCTGCCTGGAACCCCAAGACAAAAGCAGGCGGGGAAACAAACGCCAGAGTAAGGAAGGCAGAGCCAGTGTGCGCCTTAGGGCACCTGACCTGCTGAAGACCCCCGGTTCGACGCGCCGGGTGTCCCAATCACTGCCAGGAGTGAGGCCAGATCACGGCGCCAGGCGTATGCCCTGAGCACCTCTAGGTCTGGCCCCCACAAAAAATAAAAAAATCAAAGACAAACAAGTGGGACTGCGTGAAACTAAATTGCTTCCGAAAAGCAAAATACGCCGTCGGAAAATGGGAGAGCGCCCAGGAGAGCAGAGTGCGTGCGTGCGTGCACGCGTGTGTGGGTGCGTGCGTGTATGCATGGGGGGGGCAAGTATAAGTATTTACCTGCTGGGCACTGGCCTCGGGGACAGAGAAATAGCAACACAACTCAGCAGCAAATCACAAGGAAGTCTGACTGAAAAGGCAGCCACGGATTCAAGCGGACACTTTCCCAGCGAAGACACGCAGATGGCCCGCCGGCCCTCGCCGCTGACCGTGAGACACGTGCTCGCCGGAAGCACGGGGACTCCACCTGCCTCCCCTGGAAGGATGGCCAGCAGCAGACCAGGGAGACGCGGAAACCGGGATCGGAGTGTCCTGGCACCTTCCCCCAAGCACGAGGTAGGAATTCCAAGAGGTGCGCACAGCTCCGAGTGCCTGTGCATGGCCAGGACGGAGGGCGGGAGCCCTGGCACACGCATGGTGGACACGGTGGCCGGAAGGGAAGACCGAGCCCGGCCTGGCACGTGCATCAGGAGCCATGAAGCGAGTCCGAGGGAGGAGGATGAGGACCCCCTGACGTCCACAGAGAACCCAAGGAGGGCACAGGCAGTCTGAGCGATGCCAGGCCCTGGCCCTGGACGGAGCTGAGAGCGCCTGGAGGTGGGGGAGGAGGAGGTGGACGGGAAGGGCACAGAGACCATGGCTGAGGGTCTGTGGGGGACAGTGTAGGGACAGGGTCTGTCACCCAAACCGTGATGCAGCCCGCAGCAAGCACGGCCCACCCGCACTGCTGGCCCCTGAGCACTGCCGGAAGCACCTTTGGGTGGCCCCCACCCCCCCCAAGCAGCCCAAAGGGAAGCCCTGCCCTGTGCTGTCCCCTGGACAGGCACGAGGGGGGTCGCCCCAGAGAACAGAGGCCGGAAGATGGGCAACGTCCACGGCCGTGTGCTCCAGGCCGGCAAGGGGCCATCGCGTCAGGGGACCGGCCAAACCACGTGTCAGGCAGGCAGCCTCAGTTTACCAACAGCCCGAGCGGGGGCCTGGTTCCTGGGGCCCCACCCCCTGCGCCCTGAGCGGTTCCGACCCTCCCAGACGCAGCAAGTTCTGCCCGTCCACCCGCCCCTGGGATGCTCGGCTGCCCCCTGGCCGCCACTTCTGACTCCTGGGGCGCCCCTCCCTCTCTGCTCCCTGGGGCGTCCAGGGTCACCTTCTTGGGTGGGGGGCTGGTGGGGGTCCCGGCAGTGGCCTGGCCCGGTCCAAGGGGATGGGGGCGCTTCGGCAAAGCCAGGAGCGCGCCGCGGGGAGGGGCGGGGAGGGGTCCCGGGAGGGGCCCCCTGCCCCCCCGCCCTGAACCCGCCCGTGTGCACGACTCCCGCGGGGTGCTCGGAGGCGGCCGGGGACCCGCGGGCGGGCGGGTGCGCCGCGAGCCGAGTGGGCGGGGACCCCCGAACGGTGCCCGGGGACCGGCGGTGCGGAGGGTGGGGCGATGACGTCAGCGGCGGGTCCCTGGGGCCTCGCCCACCTCCCCCGGGCTGGGTGACGGGGCAGCCGTGGGCCCGGGGTGGGCGTCGCTCGGCGCCGGCGGGCAGGGAGGGGGCGGGCCGGGTCCCGGGGGGCCGCTGGAGGCCTCCCGGGGGTCTCCGCGCGGCCGCGTCCCTGGTTCCAGCCCGAGGACGCAGCGGGTCAGGGGCTGCCCCGGTGCCGACGGCCCGCGGGGGCCGGGAGGGGCGGGGACTCGGCCCCGCCCCCGCCGCCGCGCTCGCCTCCCATTGGCGGCCCGGCCCGGCGCCGCGCTCGCTCCCATTGGCCGCGGCGGCGGCGGGGCGGGGCGGGGCGGGGCCGGGGAGGGCGGGGCCCGGCCCGCGCAGGCGCCGTGGGCCGTCCCGGCAGCCCCCGCGGCCGCCCGGCCCGGCGGGGGCGTGGCGATGACGCCATCCGGCGGGGCGGCGGGCCCTGGGCGCCATTTTGAAAAGGGCAAAATCCCTCCCGGCGGCGGCGGCGGCGCGGGGCCTGCGGGGTCCCTCGGGCGCTCGGCCGCCGCCCCCCGCCGCCGCGGCATGGCAGGTGCGGGGCGGGCGGGGGCGGGGGCGGCGCGGGGCGGGGCGGGGGCGGCCGGGCGGGATGCACGGGGTGGGGGGCGGGGGCGGGCGCGGGGTGGGCCTGGGGCTGGGCGCGGGGCAGGGGCAGAGGTGGGCGCGGGGCTGGCGCGGGCGGGGGGCGCGGCGGGGGGCGCCCGGGCTGCAGCTCCCCGTGTGTCCGCAGGGGCCGGCGGCGGCTGCCCGGGCGGCCACGACCTGCAGTGGTGCTTCTCGCAGGTCAAGGGGGCCATCGACGAGGACGTGGCGGAAGGTAGGCCGGGGGGGGGGGGGTGGGGGGCGCGCGCGGGGGTCCCGGCGCCCACCTGCAGCGGCTGCCGGGCGGGGGCAGGGCGGGGCGGCGCGGGAGCACTGCGTGGGGGGCACCACCCAGCGCAGTCCTCAGCCCTTTCCTCCGCGGGGCAGGGGAGAGCCGGGCTCCAGGCTCCAGGACCCCCCGGTCCCACCCCTGGGTGCCCGGGGCATCCTCTGGTGCAGGGCCCCGGCGGGCGGGCGGGGGGAGTGCCGGCCCCGAGCACTGGACCCGGCCCCGGCCCCTCGGCCCTGCACTGCCTGCGTCTCCGCTCCCCTGCGCTGGCCGCAGTGACCAGAGCGACAAGGCTGGCGAGGACCTGATAGGACGCTTTCCTCACTCCCAGGACGAGCTCTGGTGGGCAGCGCCTGTGCTGGGCACAGCCACGCCTGCTTGACCACCACCAGCAGCCACAAGGGTGGGGTCAGCGTGCTGGACGCCTGGACAGGGAAGTTTCCAGAAGTAAGACCACCAGCCCCTCAGCCCCATGGTCACTGCTGCTTGCGGGGGGCTGTCCCCAGGTGCCCCCTGGGCACAGGGACCCTGTGGCCGTGGCTGTGCCCACCTGCCCGACATTCTGGCTCCTCTGGCCCTGCAGGGTCCGTGCCCTCAGAGTTGCTGGCCCCGGGCAGAGCCAGCCGACAGCTGCCCGGCCTCGTACTGCCCAGTGCTGGCGCTCCAGTGACTGTGGAGGCCCCTTGCAAGCAGGGCGGAGCTCGGAGTGGACAGACCCTGACCCGTGCCTGTTTAGCTGCCCTGGCCACCAGGCTGCTCCCCCTGAGGTCCCTCACTGGCCTGTGGCACCCGCTATCATCGTGGCCTGCACCTGCCCTTGGGAGACACTCTGGGAACACTTGTGTGCTGAGCAAGTCTGTGGCACCTTACAGAGTGGCGTGGCTGGGTCCCCCACGTCCGTGGCATCTATGCAGAGTGGCGTGGCCGGGTCCGCTCGCCGTCTGTAGTGTTTGTACAGTGACGTGGCCGGGGTCCGCCCACCACGTGTGGCACCTGTACAGAATGACGGGTTCCTCCCCGTGTCTGTGGCATCTGTCAGTCGTAGGACCAGACCCACTGATGGTGTTTGTGGCATCCGTACAGAAAAGTGACTCCTTTGTCAAGCCACTCTGAGCGGCTTGAGATTTTTTCTCGATGATTTCTTGGATTGGATTTTTTTAATTCGTGATGGGTTTTTTTTCCCCAAAGTAACAATACTAGAACTGAAGATTCATTTGCCTAATTAACTGAAGCTCGGGTGTGTTTTGGTGGGGGAGGGGTTCCAAATAATGGCCGGGGCCTGGCAGTGTGGCGGGTCGAGCTTTTCCGTGGAGACCTTTTGATTCAGAGAGATGGAAAGTCGGGGAAGGGGGCGGCCAGGCCCCATTCCCAGGAGAGGCTGTCTCGGACCCGGCCGTCCTGACCAAACGCAGATGGTGGGGGTCCTGTTCTGGGGCTACAGGGACTGGGCGGGGGTCCTGGCGTCAGGGGAGGGGGCGGCCAGGGCTCGCAAGACCCTCGCTGGTCTCCCCCAGCCAAGCCCTCGTGGCTGTGCTTTCGGCTGTGCCCAGTCCAGTGCGGAGAGCCCCAGTTGGGGACCCATCGTGTCCCCCTAACGAGCACTGGTTCTGTAGTGTGACCGTGACATGGGGTCTGGGCAGGGGTCAGAGCCGCTTCTCTGGGGTCACTGTGGGGTCATGGGAGCCCGTCTGAGAGTGGACTGTGGGGAGCTGCACAGGGCAGCTCCCAGGGCACCCGCAGGCACCCGGCCACCTCCTGGGCCTCTGGGCAGGACGGCTTTCCCCGAAACCCCTGGGCCATCGCAGGCTGTGGCCACTGCTCAGCTGGGGCAGGGCAGGGGCCGTGGGGTGGTAGGGCCAGGCCGGGTCCACTGGGCCCCTTGTCTGAGCCCGCAGTGACCAGGGACAGCCAGGGCTCCCCGAGGCCCAGGGTCTGGCGTGGGCACCACTGGACTCAGCCTCGATTCCTAGGCCCCACTGCCAGGAGCGCACCCGCACCCCAGAGACTGTTGGGGCCCGGGCGGGGGTGTCCGGCCGCCGTGTACTGTAGGGGACGCCGAGAAGCCTGGCACCCTAATGGGCTAACTCAGCCCTCCTGGGATGGTGCTTGGTGCAGAGTGGCCGCGGTGCTTCTGCACACTCTGACGCGGGACGGGGAGCCTGGCCCGCTCTGCAGACGCCCGCAGCCGTGTCGGTGCCCCGTCCTGGCCCTGCCGCTCAGTGTCCCGGCCCGGGGACCAACCAGCGTGTCCAAGAGCCCTCCCTGCCCTGGGCCACACGCCGTGCTCCGAGCTGCTTTCCTGCCCTCCCTTCCCGGGAATTCTCGTTCTCGTTGTGTCCAAGTGTCCAGAGTTGGTCCCTGACTGGCCAGTGCCCAGGGCACAGACAGTGAGGCGTGCCTGCCTCTCCATGCACACAGCGCACTGCCTCACGTGGCCAGTGGGGCTGGGCCTGCTCGCTGCCCTCAGCACTCATCTGGAACATCCCTGAGTGCCGCTGCCTTCCCTGTGGCTTCCTGCACGTGTGTGAGTGTGTGTGTGTGTGTGTGCGCGCGCGCGCGCGCATATACACGGACCTGGGTGTATGCACGGCATTGCACAGCGGGTATGGTGCCCACGTGCATGCCATGTGAGTGAGCACGTGCGTGGGTGTGTGTGCTTACTGGCGTGGCTGCATGTGTGTGCATGACTACATACGTGTGCATGACTGAAAGCCTGCATGGTACATACACGATGCGCTTGTATATGTGTATGTGGCTGTGTGTGCGTCCATGACTGCATGTGTATGTGTACACGTGATTGTATACGTACGTGGCTGCGTGTGTTGTATGCGTGGCTGCGCTTGTGTCTGCACGGCTTCACGTGTATGTGCCTGCATGGCTATATACGTGTGCATGCGTGACTGCATGTGTGCGTGTGGCTGCATGTGTGTGTGTGTGTGTGTGCATGGCTGCGTGTGCATGTATGGCTGTGTGTGTGCAGCACGTGTGCGTGCGTGGCTGTGGGCGTGGTTGTGTTGCGTGCTCTGCGAGACCACCTCCACGTGTTTCGCTTTGGGGCTGTCCCTGGCCGTGGCCCCTGCATGTGCCGGCCATGGTTCGTGGCCCGACTGTGCCCGGCTGGAGGTCTCTGCGCCCAGTGGAGAGCTGCGGCCCCGCACAGTGGGACCCAAAGGATGGAGCCCCCCCTACCCCCCCCCCCCACACACACACACACACGTCCCGGGGGTGGTTTCTGCTTGCTGGCGAAGACTCGCCCTTGGCTGTGGAGATGGGCGGAGGCTCTGGCTGAGGGCGGAGGACCCTCCCTTGCCTCCGTCCTGAGCTCCCCCTCTGCCTCGTGTGCAGTGACCGTGTCCAGGCACTGAGCTGCTCCGCCCGTCAGCTGGGACAGTGCCCAGCAGACGCTGCCCCTCACGGTACGAGGGTCCTGGACTTGCTTTTCTTGTGGCCGGCGTGGAACTGCCACGCGTGCTTCACCCCCTGCTAGCTGGCACGTGCAGCCTCACGTGACCCCGAGGTGTGCGTGCTCTTTCTCCCCGGGGAGGGACTTTGTGCCCCGACGGTGCTGGGGCCCCCCGGGCTCTGTGCTCAGGGCTCACCTGGGCGTGCTCAGAGGACCACAGTTAGGACCACAGCGGCGAGTGTCCTCACCCGCTCTCTCCAGCCGGGTGTCACCTCCCCTTTTACCGGCAGGAAATGGGGTTCCGGGAAGGCCCCGGCCTTGGGCGTGTGGACAGGGCCCGTCCCACCGCCCCGACTCGAGGCTGCGTGGCTACGTTCCGCCTTTCCTCTGCTCGCTCCTCCGACAGCTGCGGGGCCCAGGGCTGCCCCCGCCGGGTTTCCGGGAGATGCAGCGGCCGCTCCCCCGATGCAGCCCAGCGCTGTGCCAGGCAGCGGCAGTGACACTGCAGGGGGCAGGGGGTGGGGGGCTGGGGGACGCGGGGGGCTGTGGCAGAGGGTGTGGTGGCCGGCGTGCCCCCAGAGGCCTTCGGGTGCTGCTCGTGGGCCGGCCCTCAGGTGTCCTTTGCTCCCGGGGGCAGCTGCCTCGCTGTCATGCTCCATGGGGCCGTTCAAACCCGGAAACCGTGTGTGAGTCCTGGGCTGCGCCGAATCGTCTCCTCAGGGGCCCGGCATTGGCCCTGGCACCACACCAAGCAGTAGACGCTGAGCACTCCTGGGTGTGACCCCAAAACAGCAACGACAGAGTCCCCGGATTTTCTTCTCTCGTCAGAAATGTATTCCCGGGGAGCAGTTTGGAAATTTCCTTCCTTGCCCGAGTGTGCCTAACTTGTCAGAATTAACGCTGCAGATCTTGTGGGGGGAGGCAGCTCGGCAGGGGGTGGTGACGGTCGCCTGGCTCAGCGGAGCGGAGTCCCCAGGCCCTGGAGTCCCTGCCCTCCTGGCCTCGAGCTGCAGGTGGGCACCGCGAGGCCCTTTGTCACCATGGGTCAGCTCTGAAGGGCAGGGACACGTGAGGGCTGGTCAGGGGCAGGCCAGGAAGGGGCTGCAAGGGGGAGCCAGGGGGTAGAACCCGGGCGTACCCCACAGAAACGTGAGTGCACTGAGGTGGATCTCAGGTCCCAGCACGCTCCTGCCGACCCCACGTGCCCCGGCCCTTGCTTGGCAAGCCCAGCCCCATGACATGGGGACAGGGCCTTGGCAGCCTTGGATGCTGTCTGTTCACTTCTGTTTCTGCGACACTGGGGGCTCCCCCTGGAGGCTCAGAGGCCCAGGCCGTGCCCGGGTGGAGCCCCCAAGCCCTGGGTATCTCCCTGGCATGGACTGGCTTTTGGCCTCCCCCTGACGCCAGCGAGATTTCGCCTGGCGTGTCTCGGTGGGGTGGGCCACGGCCACAGCACCCCTGTCTGCACTGCACCAGTGGGGGCCGAGTTTCTCTCTGCCGCGTGCCGCTCCCTCCCCCGGCGCCAGCAGGGGTGCGGGGAGCCCCTCGCAGGCCCTGGGCCCATCTCGGGCGTCTGCACCCCCTGTCCCAGGGACATCATTCTTGGAGGCTCAGGCCTTTCCAGGAAGGAGCTCGGGGCGTGGGCAGGTCGTGCTCCCTGGCATGTGGCACCCAGGCTTGGTCGTCCATCCCCTCCCTGCCCCGCGCAGACACGGGACTTAGGGGTCTGCAGACGTCCTGTGCTTCCCGCTGCTCCCTGTCCTTTGTCCTCTGACCCGAGGGAAGGGCCACAGCCCGTGAGCAAGAGCCCTGACCGCAGTTCCCACCCCAGGCCCCTTCCGAGGGGAGCACGTCTCCGCACAGCGACGTCCGTTGGCTGAAACGGATGCTGGTAATTTCGGTCTTATTGGCGTTGTAATTCCGTTATTGTTCAGTGGGTATATTTTTTACTTCAGAGCTCTCCGGAACTACGGAGGTATTTCTAATTTTAGGTTCATACATATTTACGTGGTCTAATGAAAGTCGTTTCTCACCACTGGCAGTCGCGGCCGCTCTCGAAGAGATTCTGTCCGTTTTAATTAAGCCTGAGCGTTGCTGCCCGTTAATTAGGCCCCGCGGAGGCCTCGGGGCAGGACTGACACGATTTACTTTCCGGTAATCCAATGTAGGAGACTTTCGTTTCATTGAGGAGAATCGGGTTGTTTGGCGTCACTTCATTCCAAACGCGACATTTCTAACAAGGAGACACGTGATCCCTCTCCCCTTGCGAACGGGGGCGCGCCTCGAGCCCCTCTGCAGCCTCTGCCCGGGGTCTCCGGCCCCAGCTGTGGCGACGGGTCTCGGGGGCTCTGCCGTTGCCCGATTCCTGCCGTGAGGTGTGGTCTGACCGTGTGTGCTCACCCTCGTGGTGCTCAGGGGGTGGCCAGTTGGTACTCTGCGCTCCGGCAGTGTCCAGGACCCCTTGGGCCGTTTCCCTCGGGCCGTCCTGCTCAGTGGCTCCTGGACTTGACCCCCGCGGCACTTCCCCAGTCAGGCCCAGCTGCCCTGCGTCCTGGGGTCGCGCCCAGTGTCTGCGGAGCCTTAGGACTCGGCCACACTGCGTGGGGGGCCCCAGGACCCCCATGCTTCTGGGCTCACTGGAGGGGGCGCCCTTGGGCCCGCGTCACCACGGCGCCTGACCCTCAGGAGAGCCCCACCCCGCTGAGTGGCCTCTGTCTCCCGCAGCCGACATCATCTCCACGGTCGAGTTCAACTACTCCGGGGATCTCCTCGCCACCGGGGACAAAGGCGGCCGAGTCGTCATCTTCCAGCGGGAACCAGAGGTCGGTGGTTCGCGACCCGCCGACAGTGGGGTCACCTTACCTGCCCCGGGACGCGGAGCTGCGTGTCCAGCCTTGGCCTGCACACCTGCCTTGGGTTCTGCCCTGGCCTCTAGGGGAGCCGCCAGGGCGGGGGCGGAGGGGGGGAAGAGACATGGGTTCGAGCGGCATCTGGGCAGCTGGGGGTCCTCCTGCCTCAGCATCCCAGCGGTGCTGGCCTTTTTGGGGCGGGGGGAGAACAGCCTCCTTCCTGCCCCTCCCCCTCTCCGTGGGGCCTCCTCAGGCCCTGCCCGCCCAGGTGCGTCCAGTCTGGCTGCGCCCTGGACTCACAGCCGAGCTCTGGCCGCCACCTCGGGTCTGTGCCAGGCCTGCGGGTGGAGCGGGCGGTGGTGCTCAGACTCGTGTGGCCCCGTGCGCCGTCTCCAGGGCTACCGTGGGAAGCACAGGACCCTGGTGGACGGTCACTAAGGTCCATCTGACGCTGGCCCCGCCCAGCACCGCAGCTGTCGCGGGGTTTGCCATGCTGTGCCGTGCCCACCCGAGACACCGGGGTCCAGGTCGAAGCCTCCCTGCCCTGCAGCTGTGTCCTGCCCTGCCCTGGGCCGGGTGTGTCTGGGCCAGGCTGCGCCGCCCTGGGCTCCCGCCGCTTCTCACGTGGAATCTTGGTCCCTTGCAGAATAAAAGCCGCCCCCAGGCACGGGGAGAGTATAACGTCTACAGCACCTTCCAGAGCCACGAGCCTGAATTCGACTACCTGAAAAGTCTGGAAATCGAGGAGAAAATCAATAAAATCAGGTGGTTGCCACAGCAGAACGCAGCGCACTTCCTGCTCTCGACCAATGGTGAGCCCCTTGGGGAGGCTGTTCCCTGGGGGGCTTTGCAACCTGTTCTAGAACCTACTTCTGGAAAAAAAAATAGAACCTATTTCTGCCTTGTGAACTGATCGGGGAGGGTCAAGTTTCAAATTGAAGACGCCCCAGACCTCCCAGACCACCAGAGTGGGTGGAGCTCCGCCCCCAGGGCCCAGCCAAGCCCCCAGCGTCAGCCCCCCTCTGGCCTGCGCCCACCCCGATTTCCTCCCCGGGCTTCACACAGCGCCGCTTGTGTTGTCTCTCTTCTCAGATAAAACTATTAAATTATGGAAAATAAGTGAACGTGACAAGAGAGCAGAAGGCTATAACCTGAAGGATGAAGACGGGCGGCTCCGAGATCCCTTCAGAATCACGGCACTGCGGGTATGGGGGTCTCTCCAGGGCCCTTGCTCCAGCCGGGTGGGGTCTCTCCGACCCGGAGCTGTGTCTGAGCGGCCCCCCACCCCACCCCCACCCCCCCGCACGCACGCACACTCCCCACAGAGTGTCCGGGTCCCCAGCCACTGTCCAGAGTGGCGATTTCCAACCACCTTGTCGTGGTGGCCCCTGCTCTGTCCTGACTGCCCCGCCCCACGCCCTTGGCAAGCCTCCGAGCACGGACCGGCCCTCCCGACCCTGGTTTCTGCTGTCCTTGAGAATCAGCTCAGACTGGGCTGCGTCTGTCCCTCAGACAAGCGCAGCCAGCCCGTCCGTCCCTCTCCCTCTGACCCACCTCCCTCGGTGTGGCGCTCCCCGTGCCCATCCGCGTGTGACCCGTCTCACGGCGTCTCTTCCTGTGGCTGGGGGCGTGCCGCCGTGGGGGTGTGCCGTCGTTCCTTCTCCAGGCGTCTGCTCTCGGGCTGTTTCCCGAGAGCCAGCTCGAGAGACCCGTGAAGGGCCCCTGTGCCCAAGCCCCGGCCACCCCCAGGCCCCGAGGGCCGTCGGATGGTGGGGGTGGCGGTGCGGGCGCAGGCCGTCTTGCCCAGCTCCGCCCCGTGTCCAGGTACCGGTGCTGAAGCCCATGGACCTCATGGTGGAAGCGAGCCCCCGGAGGGTCTTCGCCAACGCACACACCTACCACATCAACTCCATCTCCGTGAACAGCGACCACGAGACCTACCTCTCCGCAGACGACCTGCGCGTCAACCTCTGGCACCTGGAGGTCACCCACAAGAGCTTCAGTATCCTTGGGGGCCTCTTGCCCCTGTGCTGCCGTGTCCATCCCCGGCACGCCGCCTCCGCCTGGCGGGAGGGCCTTGCTCCGATGGCCTGCTGGAGGGCACCTCCCGGTTTCTGGGTTGAGTGGCTGCCCGCGTGGGCAGTGCCGGGTTCCCGGGGCCGTCCCGGCCGAGCGGCACCGTGCTGGCACTGTGTGTCCAGGCGACCCTCCGGACTCCTGCCTCGTCGTCACACAGTTCACGGGTGCTAGAGGGAGCCAGGACTGGCTTCCGGAGGCCTTAGTTGGCGCTTCTGTTTCCTGGGTCGGGTGGTCGCCGAGTGGAGCTTAGTTGATGGGGAGCGCGTCTGGCAGTGGCCCTAGGCCTGGGCTGGCTTAGGCCCCTTCAAGGGGTGGGTGCTTGCTGGGCTGACACTGCCCGGGGGTATTTCTCTCTTTGACGTCAAATGTCCCAAATGACGTTTTCGCTGACAAGAGCCTGCGTGGTCTCTATCCTGGACCGTTCCTGCCCCTTCGCTCTGCCCAGAGGGAGGCGCCTTCTCCCTCAGCCTCCCACGAGGACATGTGCCCACCTGCCGCCCCCCCCCCACCCTGCGCTCCCCGCCGCCATGCCTGGCCAAGTGTTTGCAGGATGCGGCTGGTCCAGCCCCTGCAAACTGCCCCCGGGGGACTCCTGCCAGGGCGCCAGGTTCCTGCTTCTCTACTGGCTTTTCTCAAGCTCTGAGAGCGGCTCTGGGCACAGTGGGCATGAAACTGCTGGCGGGTGCTCGTGTGCGGTGGGCCTGGGTATAGGTCGGGCCCGTCCCGGGTCAGGGTCAGCGCAGCCACGGGTGCTGGTGGTGCCGCTCCTCAGGGCCAGCCTCCTGCCCGTCTGCAGGACACGCGTCCGGGGCACGGCCAGGGGCAGCGCTGCGTGGGCCTGCGGACCTCCTGCGCCGTGGCTCTTCCTCCGCACAGCCCGGGCTCTGCTGCGGAGTCTCCGGCTTCGGTGCCCTCGCCAGCCGGGGTCGTGCCCTGCCTGGCAGCTCTGAGCCATGCGCGGCCCCTCCCCCACCTCTGCTCTCAGGGAGCCGCACCCTCTGGGTGGGTGTGCGGGTGGGCTGCCACCCTCCCGTTGTCCCTGGAGACGGCCCCCCCCGCCTGCCACGCTCTGGCGCCTCCTGCTCCCCTGCCCCTCGGGGCCCCTGTGCCCTCACCCGAGACACAGCCAGGGCGGCTTGGTCTCCCCGCACCGTCCCCCGGCCGCAGGGCCAGCCCTCCTGCAGCTGCAGCCGTGGCTTGTGGCCTCTGGCCACGTTTCAGGTGTTGCCCTCGGGAGGGGGCTGCAGGCTTAGCCGGGCAGCCGTGGGCGGTGCTGCCGGCCGTGGTGTCCCTCGGGCAGCAAGACCCTCCCCGTGTCTGTTGCTCCTGCTCGTCCAGCGATGGGACGCCTCTTGTCACAGGCCTGGACGTGGCCCCGGCACGTCCCCAGCCGCAGAGAGGGCAGCCCGGGCTCCAGACACGTGTTCTGGTCCGGGACTGGTGCAAGAGGGACTCGCGCTGCTTTGCCTGGCGCAGGTCAGGGGCGGAGCCGCCTCCCCGTCACGCGCCCCACGGAGCCCCCGCTGCTGCCTCTGCGTCCTGCCTCCGCTCTGCTGTGTGCGTGCGTGCGTGTGTGCATACATGGCTCTGTGGCTATATGCGCATGGCTGGGTGTACATGGGACTGTGTGCAGGACTGCGTGTATGTGTGTGTCTAGCTGTGGGTGTGGCTATCCGTGCGTGTAGCTCTGTGTGTATGACTGCCTTATCATGCCTGTGTGTGGTTGTATGTGAACGTGGTTCTGTGTGTGACTGTTTCCGTGTGTGCACGTGTCTGTGTGCATGTGGTCTCTGTATGACCGCACTCTTGTCTGTGTACGACTGGCTGCGTGTGGTGTGTATGTGACTGTATGACTATTCGTGTGTGTGTGACTATGCGCGTGACTGTGTGGCTGTGTATGTGTGTGTGCAGCTGTGTGAGGTTGTCTGTGTGTGTGACAGCTCCACGTGCAGACCCTGCGGCCTGACCACGCCCGTGTCACAGCCTTAACCTGCACGCAGACATCGTGGACATCAAACCCGCCAACATGGAGGAGCTGACGGAGGTGATCACGGCGGCCGAGTGCCACCCGCACCAGTGCAACGTCTTCGTCTACAGCAGCAGCAAGGGCACCGTGCGGCTGTGCGACATGCGCTCGGCGGCCCTCTGCGACCAGCACGCCAAGTGTGAGTCTGGGGGCCCCGCCAGCGGGGGCGCTAGGAAGGGCCCGGCCCTGCCCGCCTCTGCCCGGGAGCTTCCCAGCGAAGAGCAGTTCGGCTGCTCCAGACGAGCTTCTGGGGGCAGCCGCCTCCCTCGGGCCTCCATGTTCCAACGCGTGAAACGCCAGGGCAGCCCAGATCCTCCCCAAATCCCGCTCTGCCGCAGCGGCTGGTCCCTTGCCAGTGGAGGGGCAGTGTGAGTGCTCGGGAGCACGGGGAGTGGCCGGTGTGGGTCACGTGCTGTGAGTGCTCGGGGAGCACAGTGGCCGGTGTGGGTCATGGTGTGCGTGCTTGGGCCCATTGTCAGGCCGTGTGCGTCATCCTTGGAGCAGGGGGGGCAGCCGACGTCGAATCGTGTGCTGAGTGCTCAGGGGAGCACGGGGAGTGGCCAGTGTCAAGTTGTGCTGTGAGTGCACGGGGAGCGGCCGCATGGGGGCACGAGTGCGAGTGTGGCGTGACCAGAACTTGCAGACCGACTCCTGCGGCAGGCAGGACCAGCTGGTGTCCGGCGTGGACTCGGCATTGGCCGCTGCAGCCGCTCCACTCTCTGGGGACCCCGGGCAGCCCCCTTCCTGCCACTAGCTGGGGCCGGGCGGCGGGCAGAGGCCGGCCGGGGGCTGAGGGGCTGTCTGTGTGCAGTCTTCGAGGAGCCCGAGGACCCCAGCAGCCGCTCCTTCTTCTCGGAGATCATCTCCTCCATCTCCGACGTCAAGTTCAGCCACAGCGGCCGCTACATGATGACGCGGGACTACCTGTCGGTGAAGGTCTGGGACCTCAACATGGAGCGGCGGCCGGTGGAGACGCACCAGGTGAGGTGGGGGCGGGGCGGCGGGCCCCGCGCGCATGCCCGCCCTGACGGCCCGGCCCTGCAGGTGCACGAGTACTTGCGTGGCAAGCTCTGCTCCCTCTACGAGAACGACTGCATCTTCGACAAGTTCGAGTGCTGCTGGGGCTGTGCCGACAGGTGAGTGCGGCCCAGGGGCGGCTCTGCCGGGACCGGGAGTCCGGCCACCCACACATGCACGCGGGCTCCGAGCGGGCTTCGTGGCCCGTGGCCCCTCCGGAGGGAGGCCCCGGGGGGCCACATGAGGAGTCGAGGCAGAGGGGGCTGCCTCGGGGAGCTTGGGAGCCGGACCTGCCGGCAGCCACAGGACCCCCGGCTGGTCCTGAGCGCGTGTCCTGCGTTGGGGGGCCGCGTTCCTGATGCCCATCGGGACCTCCCACTACCCCTGGTCGGCTCCCCCACGTGCGTCATTGGCTCGTGGTCACGGGCAGACACAGCAGGGGCAGGTGAGCAGCAGTGGCCTGGGGCCTCCCACCCTGTGGGGCGCACGAGACCATTCGAATGTGGGGCTCAGACCCGAACCAAGAGACACGGCGAAGAGGAGGAAGGCCGTGAGGTTCGGCCTGGATGGGAGGAGGTGGGCGCAGAGCCGTGAGGACAGGAGCCGCCCACTGAGCCTCCTCGCCCAACCTGGCCTCTCCCGCCGCAGTGGGGAGCGGGCGCAGCCCCTTGGGTTCCCCCCTGCCCCGCCCGGGCGCTCAGGGTCACGCTGTGCCCGCCCTCCTGGGCTCTGCGGAACCGGGGAGCCTGGGCTGCAGCACCCTGAGAAGCCCGTGGCCAGCTCGAGGTGGAGAGCCCGGGGGGGACCTGGGGGCCGCCCTGATTTGGGGCGGGGGGCGGCGGCGTGTGCCTCTGGCCACGGCAGGGGCTTAGGTTGGAGAGTCGCGGACTGTCACGGTGCCTGAGACGGTGAATGGGGCGACGCGTTCATGGAGTCGGAAGGATGATTCATTCTTCTCTTTTTATCCTGGACTTTTGTTTTTACCTACGTGATTTACCCACGTGGAACTCAGTCGTCATCAAGTAAAGAGGAGAAGAAAATGTCGGGTGTGGGAGGAAAAGGCGGTGGCCCCCGTGTCAGGCGGGGACGGGCGGGTACCCCGTGTCGGGCGGGGCAGCGGGGCCGCCGGCACACCACGGTGTCGCTCTCTCGCTCACAGCGCCATCATGACTGGATCCTACAACAACTTCTTCCGGATGTTCGACAGAACCACGCGGAGGGACGTCACGTTGGAAGCTTCCAGAGAGAACAGCAAGCCCCGAGCCAGCCTGAAGCCCCGCCGGGTGTGCGCGGGCGGGAAGAGGAAGAAGGACGAGATCAGCGTGGACAGCCTGGACTTCAACAGGAAGATCCTGCACAGCGCGTGGCACCCCACGGACAACGTCATCGCCGTGGCCGCCACCAATAACTTGTACATATTCCAGGACAAGGTCAACTAGGTGCCGCCCACATGTCCTGCGCGGTCCGTCCAGGGAGTCGTGTCCTCCGTGGGGACGGCAGCTGTGCGGCGGGACGCGGCTCGCGTGCGGGCCTACGTCTGCGCCGTCGCCGCTCCCGGCCCAGCTGAGCTGCCCGGGCAGGCCGTGGAGCAGCCGGCCGGGCGGCGGCTCCGTCCACCTGCGGGCCTCGGTGTCCGCCTGCAGGAGCCGCCGCCCCAGAGCCAGGCCAGGCTGGGCCAAGGCGGCCGCTCGGGGACAGGCCGGCCGGCAGCGGTCTGGGCACCGGCTCCGAGGGACACGTCGAACTTTCCTTCGAGCCTTCTTCCAAGTGGGGAGGGCGACGGCCCTTCCGGTCGCGTCAGAATGGCCCGCATGCCGACTCGCACCCCGCATCTCTCGCCAGCGAGATGGGACTGTGACGTCTTCCCCCTCCCCGAGCTGGGTCCCGCCAAGCAGAATCAGGACTTCCCGGGACAGGCGGGCACGGCCACTCACCTCCTGTCCGGGTCCCGGCTGAGCATCCGAAGCGACGTTTTCATTTAAAATGATTCTCACGCTGTATATTGGTTGTAACGATTCACAAATCTGAGATGGGAACAGAGCTATTTAAGCATTAGTTAACCCTGATCCTTAAAAAACAAGAAATTCTAGTAAAATGGGATTGTATATATTTGTTCAACTATTTTGACCAAAAGATTTAATAAATTTTAAACGTTTACTGACCCGTACTGTGTCTGCAGGGCTTATCCCCTTCCCTGGAAGCTCCCGCCGGCTGGGGTGGGGCCCATGCTCCCACCGGCTGGCCTGTGTTCGGAGTGAGGTCGCCCCTCCCCCAGAGCTGGCCACGGGACGCGGGTCCCGTGTGGCAACTGTCCCGGCAGCCTCCGTCCGTGGCCTCAGCAGACGCCACCTCGGCAAAGACACCGAGACTGCTTCCGGCGAGTGTGCTGGGCCCCGGCAGGCCCCTTTTTCTGCCGACGTGGCCCGGGGCTGGAGCCGCAGAGCGGTGGGAGGGCACTCGCCTCGCACCCAGCTGACCTGGTTCCATCCCCGGCACACCCCAGGAGCGAGACGAGAGCACAGAACCAGGAGTCGGCCCTGGCACCGCTGGGTGTGGCCTCAAACGCCCCCGAGTTCTGTGATGCGTTTAGGATTGTCTCCTGGGGCTCAGGAAGCTTCCCTGGGCAAGTGGCCTGGTCAGCTGGACACACTCAGCCCCACTCGAGCCGGACAGAGTCAGTTCTGGCATCCAGTCTCCTCAGCAGAACCCCAGAACGTGTCCAGGTGCTGACGGCCCAGTCGCCCCAGTCTCGGCTGCCCCTCAGGCGGGTGGGAGGAGGGGCCTGGGGGCCTGCCAGGCTCGAAGGACGGCGCAGCACCAACTGTCCTGTCCCGGCAGCGCACGCATGTTCTCTTCACATGGCTGGTGCGCGTTCTCCATGTGATATGTTTCAATCCATGTGGCAGGTATGTTTCCCACGTGGCTGATGATGCGTGTTCTCCACAAGGCTGATGTGTGTTCCCCACATGGGTGGTGCATGTTCCCCACATGGCTAATGTGTGTTCCCCACATGGCCGATGCGTGTTCCCCACATGGCCGATGTGTGTTCCCCACGTGGCTGATGCAATGTTTCCCACATGGCTGATACATGTTCCCCACATGGCCGATGCGTGTTCCCCACATGGCCGATGTGTGTTCCCCACAAGGCTGATGTGTGTTCCCCACATGGGTGGTGCATGTTCCCCACATGGCTAATGTGTGTTCCCCACATGGCCGATGCGTGTTCCCCACATGGCCGATGTGTGTTCCCCACATGGCCGATGCGTGTTCCCCACATGGCCGATGTGTGTTCCCCATGTGGCTGATGCAATGTTTCCCACATGGCTGATACATGTTCCCCACATGGCCGATGCGTGTTCCCCACATGGCCGATGTGTGTTCCCCATGTGGCTGATGCAATGTTTCCCACATGGCTGATACATGTTCCCCACATGGCCGATGCGTGTCCCCCACATGGCCAATGCGTGTTCCCCACGTGGCTCCCAAGCACTAGCTCTGAGGTCCCCACAAGGGCGAGGTGCAGGCCAGCCAGAATCTGGGTGCAGCTCACACCCCAGGCCACCGCCCTGCCCTGGGGGAGAGTGGGCTGGCAGGGATGGTGATACTGGGGGTGACATACTGGGTGGGCCCTGCAAGGGTGGGTGGTCAGCTGGGGCCCTCTGTGCCCCACCCGAACCCGAGAGCTGCAGTCCCTGGGCTGGCCTTGATGTCTCAGGACTGGCACCACATAGCAAGGCCTGGGGCTGTGCCCAGGGCCGTCCTGGGGTGGGGACAGGGCCTTGGTGACCTCACCCGCGCCTCTGCAGGTCCCAGCCTCTGCGCACACACGCTCACACCGTCTCACACTCACGGTCTCACACCCCAGCCCTCAACACTCCCAACACACTACTTCGCTCACACCCGCGCTCACTCTCACATCCTCTCAGACTCCTGCTCCTCCACCCCCACCCTCACGCGGCCTCACACGCTTGCACACTCAGTCGCACGCTCATGCCGTCTCGCACTCACTGTCCCACGGGCATGGTGGGTGCCGCAGCCCCTCAGCCAGCAGGACCCCTGGCAGGGGCTGCCCCCACTCGGCTCGGCTGTGGCGTCGGCTCCGTGGAAGCACCACGCCTCGCCCAGGCCACGCTGATGCCGCTGCACCCTCGTCCATCACAGCCACCCACACAGGGTCTCACAGGCCCCCGCCCCAGCCCCTTTTCTCCATTCACAGGGGGATCTCCACCCCCCCCCCCCCCCACACACACACACACACACGCACACACACCAGGAGGCAGGAGAGGCCAAGCACCAGAATGATGCACCCTGGGCTCTCCCTGAAGCCTCGGGGCAGCCCAGGGCGCCCCCGTGTGGCCTTGTGTGGTAATGTCTGCCGGGCTCCCTGGCTTGGCCTCTCTCCACAGCAGGGACGTGGTCACAGGGTCACAGGAAGTCCAGCACCACGGGGCTGTGGCGGGGAGAAGTGACTGTTCAGTGGAGGGCTCTGTGCCCCCGTGGACCGGCCCGCCCACCCCGAGGCCCGGAGGAAAGTGTGCTCGACCCCGCAGCCTCCACCTGGGGCTAGTTCCTCGGACCCCGCAGCACCCAGCCCCACCCCCCGGCCCTGGAGGAGCCGGGACTCTCGTCTCATTCCTGTCCCCACGGCCAGCACGTCACCCCGGGACGCCGCTGACGAAGCCACAAAGGGAAACGGACGCGTCTCAGTCGCAAGCCCAAGGGCACTGGCGGCTCCCAGACCTGCTGAGGCATGGGGACAGACGTGACGCCCACAGGAGCCCAGAGGCTGAGTTCCCTGGGGGTGACAAGGACGGGCACGCTGCCCCCGCGAGTCCTTTTCTAAGCAGACTGCCCACGGCTCTCTCCCGGCTCTGGCCCCTACCCGAGGGGTCCTTCGAGCATTCATTTTGGGAAACCGCCCCGAGACTTTCTGCGGAAGACGGGCCGAGAGTGGGGGGGGGGGGGGACCTCACAGGGACACGGGCCCGCCACGCTTTCAGAGACGAAACCGCAGGAGTCCCACCATTTCCATTTCACCAGCTTTCGGATGAACGGCTTCCAAGCCGAACACTGAACTCGAAACGAAGGTCGTTTCAAATCAGAACGTGGTTTATTGAGCACTCCGGACTGGGTACACGAGCATACGGCGTCGAGCAACTCGGAGCATGCGGGGGGGGGGAGGGGGCCCGAGCAGCCGGGCCACGGGCGCGGCCGTCCCCGGGGAAGGGGCAGAGGCGTGTTCTCTACGTCGCGTTTCTGAAGCGGATTCTACGAGCACACCAACACCGCAGCCACCGGGAGGCTCGTGCAGGACAGGCCGGCCGCACGCAGTGCAGGCGGGCAGGCGGGACGCGGCCCTCGGCGGGCGGGGAGGGACAGGTCCACTGCCCGGCCCAGGCCCGACTTCGCCGCCCGGTGGCCGCGGGGCTGCACTGCTCGTCACCGGGAGCAGCCAGCGTCGCCCACGGCACTGCCGGAGGCCGCCCGCGCCCACGCACACGCAGCGTGCTCTACAGTCGTGAGTGTAAGGCCACAATATTTATTCGGGACAGACCCCTTACATCGCCATTTTCACACCAGCGTTATTCTGTCTTTCAAAATATAAAGTGTCTTCAGCGCGTTACGATTACAGATTGCTTTGCTAAAATAGTACGTACGTCAGTAACTAGTCGTTAAAAATTATTTATATTGCGCTATGTAACAGAGAAACTCGACTACCAAATGATTCCAGTAGATGGGAGGACATGCTTGCTACCGGACCGTCCCGGCCGCGGCGAGCCTGCGTTAGCGTCTGCTCCGTAGGCCCGAGGACGCAGCGTTTACAGGACGAGACACGAACGCGGTGGCCCAGGGACAGCCACTCTAGCCCGCGGAGCCCGGTGCCGCCTCCCTCAGAAGGTGCTGGTGGAGGGTGCCAGGCGCCGTCCAATGTAGATCCTGCGGGGGAGAGTGGGCTGCGAGGGGCGGGCACGGCAGCCACACCCCTGCCCCCCCCCAGGGCCGCACGGGGCTCGGTCAGGGGCCCCCGCAGCGCCCCCCACGGGCCACGGGAGCAGCTGGCCGAGGGTCCCAGGCGGGGCGAGGCGTCAGGACAAGCCACACCTGGTCAGGACAGGGGTGCCCAGGGCCCGGATCGGAGGCCCCCGGCCAGCCAAGCGGCCGAGTCTGAATCTGGAGCCTCCTCAGGCTGGCGTGGGAGGGTGAGCCCAGGACAGCGCGAGAACAGCCCCGCCGGAAGGGGCGGGGAGCGTCCACCAGGCACGGGGCGGGGCGCCCGGCTGGCCCCAGCTGCCACTCACCCCAGCCCGATGGCCAGCAGATGGGACAGCAGAAGGGAGGGGAGGAAGACCTTGAGGAACTCGGCCGAGAAGATGCCCCCCTTCTTCATGACGCTTGTGTTCCTCATGCTGAGGGTCGGGGCGCGCTTGGGGTGCTTGAAGAGGAACTCCCTGGGCAGGAGAGGCCGTGAGGGGCGGCCCGGCCCGGCCCGGGCGGCCCCGCCCCCCGGCCCGGACTTACTTGGGGGGGATGTTCTCGGGCCGGCTGGACCAGTCCCAGATCCAGTCCGAGTTCTTCCTCAGGATGCTCTCCACCTCTCTCCTCCGCTCCAGGAAGTCCTCCTCCGACTGGGGGCCAGGGGCGCCGGTGAGGCACGCCCAGCCAGAGCCAGCCTCTCCCCGCACCCAGGACGAAGGGCCGGCGGCGAGGGACGGCTCTGGGCTCTGGCGCGTGGACGTGGGTCGGCAGAGCGGGGCCCTGCGCTCCCAAGGGGGCTCAGACTCGGGTCTGAGCTGGGGCCCGCCCCCGAGACGCTCCGGCCACAGGCCCTTCAAGGGGCAGGTTTGCGCCTGTGAGAACACTCTTTCGGTCCTTCCAGTGGTCACCGTTAAGGCGCTGGCCGGCAGCTCCAGGGCACCTCCACTCCCGCCAGCGTGCCTTCCCGACCCTCTCTCTACTGTCTAATAAAGAAGGAAACTCGGGGGCTGGAGTGATAGCACAGCGGGGAGGGCGTTTGCCTTGCACACAGCTGGCCCGGGTTCGATTCCCAGCATCCCATATGGTCCCCTGAGCACCGCCAGGGGTGATTCCTGAGTGCAGAGCCAGGAGTAACCCCTGTGCATCGCCGGGTGTGACCCAAAAAGAAAAAAAATAAAATAAAGAAGGAAACTCGGGCGGGTGGCGCCCAGGTGCTGACGGGGACCACTACAGGTCAGTCGAGAGACGCCGCTGCTCCAGGCGGGCTCCCGCGGTCTGGAGGAAGGACCTGAGGCCTCCCGAGACGTCGTCGCCCGCAGCCCCGACTGAGCAGGGCATCTGGGTGACGGGACGGAGCCGGGGCCACCCCCAACTCCCACACACAGGCTGGGGCACGGGACTCTCCAGGCTGCAGTGCCCAAGCGCTGGGCCTGGCCCGGCAGCCCCCGGCCGGAACCCCAGCTCCTACTGGGTACAACCAAGCAGCGAGCCCAGGCCCGGGCTGCTGGGACCGCGGGGGGTGGCGGGGACAGACGTGCTGGCAGCGCTGTGCATCCGGCCGCACAGGCGTGGACGCGGGCAGTGGTGGGCAGGCAGGCACCCCAGCGGCTGCTTACCTGGGAGCTGTTCTTCTCCCCCAGGCTGTGGGTGTCGGTCTCCGAGGCCCTGTGGGTGTCCAGCGGGGTCTGGGAGCGAGGCGGGCTGGGCCAGGCAGGGGTGACGGGAGGGGACAGACGGCCGTGAGTGCCTGTGGCCAGCTGGAGGGGGCAAGCCCGGGTGCCCCTGACCTCCGACCCCCGGCCCCAGCCGCCCCTACCTGTCGCAGTGGGAGCTCTTGGAGCTGCTCCGGCCGGACTCGTGCTGGGCGTCCAGCAGGATCTTCTCCATGTCCCCGTTGTAGATGGACACCGAGGCCGGCACGCTGCCCCCATTCCCGTTGCTGAAGTGCAGCTCCACCCAGGAGCCTGTGGGCACCAGACGGAGCAGAGCAGTAAGGCGGGGGCTCCTGCAGGGACGGCGTGGCAGGCACCAACCCCACCCGGGGGCCCTGGTGATGACTGGGACAGGGCGCGGCGGTCCCTGCCGCAAGAGGGTCTTGGTCACCGCCACACGTGCCGTGGGGACGCCCGGCTGGACAACTCGCCTTCGTCCCTCTCGCCACCTGGGCCCGCCCCGGCTGAGGGACCGCGCTGGGGACACCCCCCACTCAGAAGGGATTCGGGTCACACTCCACCCCACGGCGGCCTCGGGAAGGCCCAGAACCACCAGACACACAAGCCCACGTGGGAGGAGCCACGAGCAGCGCCACCAAAGACGAGACAGGCCCAGACAGATGTCCCGGGGCACTGCCAGGGCACTGCCCGGCTCCTTGTAGGCGGGCGCAACGCGGTTCAGGCTCACTGGCCATCTGGCCGACACCCTTCCTCTGACGACCATCTTTAACCCTCCCCACGCCAGGCCGCAACGGAGAGTCGCCTGTGAGCAAACGGGGCTGGGGTGAGTGGGCGTCCGTGTGCAGGCTCTTGGCTGGGCGGTCAGTGGGTGCACTCGGGCCCCAGCACACTCAGCACAAGACGCGGCCAACCGCAAGAGGCAGTGCGACAGAGCCGGGGCCTCCAGGCCGCGCTCCCGCTGGCCGCGTCCCCTTTAAGCCCTGCCGCTGCCCCGGAGGCTCAGTGCCAAGCGCCGGACAAAGTCCAGGCCTGGCCGCTGCTGGTCAGAAGCCACAGGGCTGCCCCCCAGTGCTCGAGCCCCCGGAGCCGGGTCCCAGCTCTGGGAGCACCTCCCCGGGCAGGCCCGCCTCGGTCCTGTGCCAACCAGTGCTCCCTGGCACGGGGCCTTCCCACTGTCCAGGTGGCCACTCCCCGGCTGGGGGCCCTGAAGCCCCACCCTTGTTGGAGACGGTCAGGAGCGGCCCAGGGGGCCGAGATGGGCCAGACGCCCCCTCCGCCAGTCTGATCAACGCTGGCCTCTCCCGCCCCTCCCTAGATCCAAGGGCCCAAAGGGAACCCGCCCCCAGAACCGGCCCGGACGTGGTGGAGCTCCCTGGCAGCCAGCAGCGCCCGGCTCGGACCCGAAACTGCCAGGCACGCTCCTCCATCGCCCCAGGACACCAGCCTCCAGCCCGGGAGCTACGCACAGCTTGCACACATCACTTCGAAGAGCCCACAACGCGGCCTTGGACCCGACCAGCACTGCCTTCGGGAGGCGCGAGGGCAGTTCTGGGCCGGTCTCAGGCTGGGGGGGGCGGCCGGGGGTCTGGAGAACAACGGGGCCATCGCCCTGCCCGTGACCTCAGTGTCCTTCTGCAGGCTCTGGGGGGGCTGGGCGGCAAACCCTGAGTGCCCTCAGGGAGGCGACAGTTTTCTCCAACCCTGCAGGGCTGAGACACAGGGCTGAGGGCCAGCCGGATGTCTGACCCCCCACCCCCAGGGCCAGCAGCCCCCCTCCACGCAGCACCAGACCCCGGCAGGGAAGGGGAAGGGGCGAGGACGGACGCGGCAGCCGGGGCCCAGGCCTGCTGACAGTGACGGCGCCGGCTCCGCGGTAAACACGGGCTCCCCCAATCGGGAGCTCGGAAGCCCGGCGGGCCGGCGAGTCCAGGCCCGGATTCACAGGGCAGCTGCGGCCCCGCACGCGCCGGCTCCTCCCACGGGCCGGGCAGGAGCAAGTGCCGGGCGGCACGTACGCGGCCGAGAAGCGGGCCCAGCTCCCGCCGAGTTTCCACTCAACTCGGGGCACCCGTGTGTTTACAGAGTGAAGCGAAGCAGAAAGACGAACCTCCCTCCTGCGGCCGCCGGGGAAGGGGGGGCTGGGGAGGGGCACACCCGGGCAGAAAGACCCAAGCCCGGCTCTGGGCGGGCAGGGCCGGAGGGCAACTTCAGGCAAAAGCTTTGCAGACCCCAGCCCAGGGCGGGGAGCCAGGCCTTTACCGACTCTTTGCAGCTCAAAATAAAGAGGATTTTGTAAAGAGGGAAAAATGACTGACGGGTTTGTTTCTAAACAAGGACTTTAAAAGTTCCCGGGGCACACCCGGCGGTGCTGTTGGGATGAGGGTCTTGGTGAGCACTGCTGCTGGGAGCACTGAGCACTGCTGCAGGGATGGTTTGGGTTTTGTTTATATCTAAACAGAGACTTAAAAGTTTCTGGGCCACACCCAGCAGCGCTCAGGGGGGCTGGCAGGGGATGATGGGCTCCCGGCGAGGCAAGCGCCCGCCTGCCCGCTGCACGGTCTCAGCAGCCCCCAGGACCCCGGTTTGCTGGAGCTTTGAAACCCGCCCTCTGGGTCCCAGGAGCCGACCCCAAGCGTCCCCCAAAGTCACGTCCTCGCTCCTTTTGCTGGGCGAACTGTTGCTTCTGAGCATGCAAAAGCCAGAGGCTCCGGGCCCTGGGGAGCGGCGGGGGCGGCTCTGGGCTCTGTCCCCACCGCGGTGACCCCCCGCCCCCGGCCAACACCAGCCGGGTCCCAGGCTGCCCCCGAGGCCGGGCCCCGAAGGTCACGTGCGGACACGCTCACGGCCCGAACCCGGCGCGCGGGGTGGTCCCGGGCCCAGCCAGGTGCGCGCATGGGAAGGTCCCGGGCCCGTCTGAGCTGCACGAGGTGGTCCCGGGCTCCTGGGGCGCACGGGGTGGTCCCGGCCCGGCCAGGTGCGCGCATAGGAAGGTCCCGGGCCCGTCTGAGCTGCACGAGGTGGTCCCGGGCTCCTGGGGCGCACGGGGTGGTCCCGGCCCAGGCAGGAGGGCGCAGGGGGTGGTCCCAGGCCCGTCTGAGCGCGCACAGGGTGGACCCGGGCTCCTGGGGCGCACGGGGTGGCCCCGGCCCGGCCAGGAGGGCGCAGGGGGTGGACCCGGGCCCGTCTGAGCAGCACGGGGTGGTGCCGGGCTCCTGGGGCGCGCGAGGGGGTCCCAGGCCCAGCCAGGTGCGCGCACAGGATGGTCCCGGGCCCGTCTAAGCAGCACCGGGTGGTCCCGGGCTTCTGGGGTGCACAGGGCGTTCCCGCACGGGGTGGTCCCGGCCCAGCCAGGAGCAAGCATAGGATGGTCCCGGGCCCGTCTGGGCGCGCACGGGGTGGTCCTGGGCTCCTGGGGTGCACGGGGTGGTCCCGATCCAGCCAGGAGGGCGCACGGGACGGTCCCGGGCCCGTGTGAGCCGCACGGGGTGGTCCCGGGCCCGCCGGAGCGCCCGAGCGCGGCGCGCGCCCCCCACTCACCCTGCAGACTCTCCTCCTGCAGCCCGGGGGTCCCGCTCTGCGACATGGCTCCGGGCGGGCGGACGAGCGAGCAGCAGCGCGGGGCCACGGCTCGGCGGCGTCGCGGGGCCCCGACTCGGACGCGCGGACACGCACGGGCCGGTCAGCGGCGGCGTCGCCCGAGGCTGCGGGGCGGGGCCGCGCCTGCGCGGAGGCGGCGGCGCGTGCGGCGCGTGCGGCGCGTGCGCGGGGCGGGGCCGAGGCCCGGCCGAGGGGCGAGGCGCGCGTGCGCGGGCGGGGCGGGACGTGCGGTCCGGACCGCGCGTGCGCACTCTGGGCGCGGCGGCGCCGCGGAGACGTCACGGGGCGGGGCCTAGTTCCCCGTGGGCGGGGCCTGTCTCTGGCTGTCGGGACCCGATCTCAGGAGGGCAGGGGTCTTCCTAGTGAGCGGGCTTGGTCTCGGATGGGCGGGGCCTGGTCTTGGGTGGGCGGGGCCTGGTCTCGGGTGGGCGGGGCCTGGTCTCGGATGGGTGGGGCCTGTCTCCGGTGGGCGGGGCCTGTCTCTGGCTGTCGGGACCCGATCTCAGGTGGGCGGGGGTCTTCCTAGTGAGCGGGCTTGGTCTCGGATGGGCGGGGCCTGGTCTCGGATGGGCGGGGCCTGTCTCCGGTGGGCGGGCCCTGTCTCCGGCTGTCGGGACCTGATCTCAGGTGGGCGGGGGTCTTCCTAGTGAGCGGGCTTGGTCTCGGATGGGCGGGGCCTGGTCTCGGGTGGGCGGGGCCTGGTCTTGGGTGGGCGGGGCCTGTCTCCGGCTGTCGGGACCTGATCTCAGGTGGGCGGTGTCTTCGTAGTGGGCGTGGTCTGTCTCCGGTGGGCGGGGCCTGTCTCCGGCTGTCGGGACCCGATCTCAGGTGGGCGGGGGTCTTCGTATTCGTAGTGGTCGGGCCCGGTCCCCCCGGTGGGCGGGGCCTGTCTCGGGTGGGCGTGGCCCTTTAGGTGGGCGGTGCTTTTTAGGTGGGCGGGGCCTCCGGCGGCCGCTCCTGAGCTGGGGCTGGGCTGCACCGCGCTGGGTGCTTGCTGGTGGTCCGTCCCCTGCTGCTGCCCGGGGAGGCTGGGGCGGGGGGCGGGGGTCCCGGAAGGCCTGAGAACCCCCACACTCCTTCACGCTCCACGGCCTTTGTCCTGGCCTCACAGCTGCCGGCGGGGCGGCCGGAGGGGACTCTCTGCCCCCAGCCCCGGACTCAGCCCTCCTGCACCCCCTTTTCCCGTCAGCCGTGAGGGGCAGCGGGGCGTGACCCGGGGTGCCCCCGAGCCAGGCGTCCCGCGTCTGGGCCTTCTCTGGGCCGCTGTGGGAGAGGGCCAGTCCACTCAGGACCTCCGGACAGCCCGGGAGCCCGTGCCTGCTGGGCGCTGACCTGCGGCAGGGGAGGGCACCGGGACCATGCACCCTGCCGGCCAGGGCCTGGTTGCCCTCCCACACCCCCACAGCTTCAGCCCGTCCTCAGGTCCCTGGCAGCCCCCCAGACACCGCCTGGACCCAGGACCCAGCTGTGCGCATACCTGGGCAGAGGGGCAGAGGCAGGTGCCTGGAAGGAGGGATCTCTGGGGCAGCTGTGGGGGGGGTCGCGGATGAGGGGATACCTTCCTGCCCCCCCCACACCTGGGAGGGGAGGGTCCTGCAGGCCCCAAGGCCGCCACGTCCCGGTGGAGGAGGACAGTCCCGGGGCGCTCCCCTGGGGACAGTGACCATCCTGCGGGGCTGGGAGGGGCTCCCAGGGAAGCCTAAGGTGTCTGTCAGGGTCTGGGGGCCTGGGGCCTTGTAGCACTGTGGACCCCGACACGGGAGGTGACCCGGTTCCCACAGGGCAGCCCATCCCAGGGCCAGTGCACCTGGGTGGACACCACTGTCTACAGAGCCCAGTCAGGAGCATCTGGGGTGCCTGAGAGGAGAGAGCAGCCGTGCCAAGGGGAGGTGCCGGGCCAGGGGAAGAGGCTGGGGTACCCCAGGGGAGAGGCCGGGGTGATCTGGACAGAGGCTGCAATGCCCCAAGGAGAGGCGGGGTGCCCTGAGGAAGAGGCTGGGGTGCCCCGGGGGAGAGGCTGGGGTGCCCCGGGGGAGAGGCTCGGGTGCCCCGGGGGAGAGGCCGGGTGCCCCAGGGGTAGCAGGCTGTCTGAAGGGGTGGGGGTGGGGAGAGCGTGCTTCCTGGGCAGACTCCTGGAAATTTCGTCCTTTCTCACTGATCCCCTGTGGCCCCCACTCCCACCCCCAGCCCCACCTCTCTGTCCTGCACCCTCCCCCACCCCATCTGTACTAACTCCAGGCCAGCGACTGGAAGGGGAAGGGCCCCCAAAGGGGCCTTGTGCCCCAGGACCCCCAGGGCTTGTCTGGACTCGGGACTCCCACTGCAAACCCCCAGCGCCTGGCTCTCTGGCCGGCTGATGCTTTGCTTGTCCCGCTGCGGAAAATTGATTCTCTTCCTGGGCAGGGGTGCTGAGATGGGGCAGGGCTGCCGTGGAGTCGGACTCCCCCCTGCCCACCATCCGCTGGCCGGTGCCCCCTGCTGGCCAGGGAGTGGGACGTGCAGCTGAGCGGCAAAGCTGTAGAAGGCGCCGGAACCCTGAAACTCCTTCCAGCAGCCGAGACGCTCTCCGCCTTGCACACCGCCCAGCCACCGGCAGAGGCGAACCCAGCGCTCTCACCCGCACTAGGCGGCCTGGGGAGGCCCTGGGGGCCGGGCGCCTAGGGCAGGGGCAGTTCTGGCGTGGCGCCAGGCTTACCCCCGTTCGGCAATGCTGTCTGGACAGAACAGCTCACAGAAGCTCACAGCCTTCTGTCCCTCTCGCAGAAGGCTGGTTCATCTCGTACCTTCCTCCCCAAGCGGGAACCTCGAGGGCCTGAGCTCCAGGGAGTGGCGGCCAGCTGCAGCGTCAGGAAAACTCTGGGCCTTCCTGCCAAACGCTCGCAGCGGAGAGGCGTGAGGAGGGCGGGAGCCGTGGGCACAGCAGCTGCGCGTGGGTTCCTCCGCGTGTCCCTGGCCGCTCTTGAAGGGGGAGGCCACGACCCGAGAGGTTCTCAGGGGTCACGCTGGGCTGGGCTGGGCACTTGGGGCGATGGAGAAGCAGGGTGGAGAGGTGGAGAACCCCGCCCCCAGGGGAAGCTGCGCCAGAGGTGCTTGACGAGCTGTCCCCGGCAATGCTTGTCCTTCCTCTGGAGATGAAGGCTTCTCTCCCCGCGTCCCTGAGCCCTGCGTCCTGCCCACCCTCTTAGGCACTCCTGGTTTGCTGATTGCCAGCAGGCGGGGCCTGGCTTTGGCAAAGGGAGGGGTCCCAGTGGGCCAGAGAAGTGGAAATTGAAGGGCGGGGGGTGAGGGGACACCACGGTGAGCAGAGTTCCTGGTGCCACACCAGGTGAGGTGGAAACTACAGCCGCTGTCCACCAAAGGACCAGCCCACGGGACAGTGTGGGCACGGCCCACGCCTGCACGGACTGAGGCCTCGGCACTCGAGCGTGCGGGCAGTCTGAAGCGCGGGGGCAGGTGGGGTACGCAGGGGGAGTGTGACGTGTTGATGTGTGGAGTGGGGCGGGGAGCACACGGGCGTAGGTGGCCGTGCAGGTGGCCAGCAGCATGTACCCTGCCGAGTTGCTGGGATGGAGCACTGTCCAGGCCTGGCTGGGCGCAGCAGGTGGGCAGAAATGGCCGGAGGTACAGACAAGCTTGTCCAGCAGAACAGGGGTGGCCACGCCCTGAGAAGGGTCCAGACGGACCCTGTATGACCCAGGTCCTGGGTGGGCAGCAGTATAGTGGCCGGAGACTTGCAGGGCAGCAGTGACCACTGCACTCGGCCGAGGCTGGAGCCTGCGGGGTCTGTGGGCCTCCTGCGGGGGAGGCAGGGGGCTGCTCCTTGTGACTTCTGGGCTGGGGCAGCCTGACCTCTGGCTCTGGAAGGACTCCTCCCTCTTCAAAATTTGGGGGCTGTGGTCAACCTCGCAATGCTCAGGGCTAGTGCAGGCTCTGTGTCCACCACGTGCGGTACTGGGACCCAACCAGGGCTGGTTGCAGGTGAGACCAGTGCCCTAGCCCTGCTTGCTCTCTCATGTTGAGAACCCGCCCCCCACTTGTGATCTCAGTGAACCCTGCAAGGGCCCCACTGCCCAGACATCACACCGGGGGCAGGTTCTCTGTGGACTCGGGGAAGGGAACACAGAAATCGGTACCTGCCAGAGTCCAGGAGGGGCTGGGGCCAGGCTGGTCTCCACGCCGAGGGGCTGGCGTGGCCGTGCAGCCATACGGAGCCCACCACTGCGTGTCTGTGTTTCCAGGGAGGCGTCTGCCGCTCATAGCCCCCTGTACAGATGTGGACCCCAGGCCCCTTGCCCTGGGGCTGTGGCCCCAGCCCTGAGGCCCTCAGTGTGTGGCCCCTCGGGACAGCTGCAGAGTCTAGAAGCCAGGGCACAGTTGACTGCCTCTCGTGCACCAGGGACACATGGACAAAAGCGCGCAAGAAGGGGCCACTTAGCAGACCAGGGTGTCGGCGGGGGATCCAGTCACCTCTGAATACTTCTGATATTGATTTTCCGGAGGACAAACATTCTTCAAGAACCAAATGTGGAAACAATGGCTGCATTTCTAAAAAGCCAAATGCAACCAAAGATCACTCCATTCCCTCCCCCACCTGCCCACCACCTGCCGCCTCACCTGCACGGATCCCAACCAAACTGCCACACACCCGCCTTCGCCTCCTGCGTCTGTCCGTCCGTCTGTCCCTCCCCCTACCTGCCTTCCGGCCCCTCCTCCTCCCTTCCTCCCGTCATAATTCTCAGCTCACCGGCTGGTCCTTCCTCTCTGCTCTGTTCCTCCAGCCACCCGGCGGCCCACCTGTCTGTTCCTTCGCCCACCCACCCATCCCCCTGATGGTCTCTGCGGAAGTGACATCCCGTCAGTTTGGGAATGTAAGAGAAGGCCGTTCCTCCCGGGGTGAAGACCCCCGGGGCCAGAGCAGGGCTCTGGTCACGGAGGAGCTTCCGTGGGCTGGTGGTTGCCGCAGGCTGTGCTCCGGGCAGGGCTCGTGGGGCGTCTCTGCACTCCCCGGGGCCCTTGGTGCTGTTCTTAGTGGCAGGGTGCCCAGGGACTGCCCTGCCAGCCTTCCTGCTGCACGGGAAGTGCTTGGAAACGGCCACGGGAGAGCAGGGG